TAATTTACAATTTTATATAACTTTAGATAACTTCTTGACTTGGGTCATACAATGCGGATGTCAGCTGTGTTTGCCACAGAGCTGCTGTGAAGATTACATTAGCTGATATATGAGCAGCTCTGAGAAGAGAATCCAGCAGAGAACACATGCCTGTAAGTGGAATTCCTGTCACAGTGCTCTGACTGAGTGCCAGGGTCTGTGCAGGTCTGACCAGGTTCAAGGAGCCTTCCAGAAAGCAGTTCTCTGGCCTTAGACAATAAGAGTCTACTACAGGAAAGCGCCAGCCCAACTCAGTGTCCAGATTGCCAGTCCCTGAGGCTACATGCAATAGGAACACTCAGCTGTGCCTCCCCCAGCAACTGCCTATCTCTGGAGAGAAGTGGCCCATAAGTACACAGGAACCAGCACAGTTTGGCAGGAAGCCTGCATTCTGCAAACCCCAAGGGCAGGAAGTACACACACACACACACACACACACCAAAGGGTCCCCACCACACCCTGTGAGAAGGAAGGGCCAGCCAGAGGGGATGGGATGGGTTGTTTCCTCTTTAAAGTAAGGCTTTGAAGAGACACTCCGGGGCAGTTAGAAGCAGGCTGGCTAAGGGCACACACATGTTTCTCACACCCACCCAATTCCTGACCTTAATGTCACTTACTAAGGCAGGCCTGGAGTCCTATCTGCAAGGAGAATTGCAAATCGCTTGGCTGGGGCCCCACATATGAGGTAGCTTTGTAATATGAGCAGTGTGTCCACTAACAACTAGAGCAAGACCATTAAGTTCATTACACCTGTCACTCTGCCAGCTGAGTCGCCAAACTGCCATGATAAAAGTGCATTATGCCCAAGGAGTGCCACCCAACCCCCTTCCAGACAGCGTACACCCATCTGCGGCAGACAGTTTGTTCTTGGTCTCTGTACCTGCACAGAGAACACAACTGTAAACAGCTTGGAACTTGGCTGTGGAATACCTCAGGCTCTGAGCAGCCATGAATGTTTTGCTTCCTTGGGAAGAAGAATGTGGGTATAGACCAGAAGACCAAGATGGAGCCAGGGATGGGCAGCCTAATAAAGAAAAATAAGGGGGGGGGGAACTGAGATTTGTTAAGTGGATTCTTCTGTCCAACCCAAAATAAAAGTGAGAGACACACCCTTCCCACCTCTAAACCATGTCCCAGCACTCCAGGCAGCAGGCAGGGCCGAGTGTGCAGCTGTACCTTCCACCAGGCCCCGGGAGGAGCACACAGCAGCTGGGCCGCACAGTGGGTTTGCAGTGCAATGGTGCTGCAGACAGCAGTGATTTACTTATCCCTGTCATGTAACATTAACAATCTGTCTGGAGCTTGGCAAGCACCAACTTGCACTGTCATATAAACTGTCTGACAAACTTAAAAGTTACATAAATGCTTCTCTTCCCCCAACAGTCAACAAAGCATCTTAAAAAAAAAAAAAAAAAAGTTGTCATCTATTCTGTTCCCATTACTCTCTTCCTCTTTCAAACACTAAGGAAGAACAAGACAGAAACCCAGCCACTAAGGGACCCACGCAGGAGACCAGTTAGTGGTCTTCACCACCTCACTGTTCTTCCAATACCAACAAATAAATAATGAATGGGTGTGGGGGCAACACGGGGTCAGCTGTGGGGGTGCCGGGGTACTGATGCAAAATCTGCAAAACAAAAATACAGTCATTAAAAATTAATAAAGGGTGTGGACATGCAGTCCCCACCTTGTTCTGCTCATGGGAATTTGAGCCAGACATTCTGCGTCCTCATTAAGTGAATGCTGGCAGTCTGTCAGGGTTTTAGTGGGTTCTGGGAATGCCAATATATTAACCAGAAGACTTTCTGCATACCCTTTAGAGTTTTTATTCTAGAAAAGTCAACCATTTGGCACAGTGGAACCTTATTTTTGTTCAGGAAAGTTCTCAGCTGCCAATCAAGGGAGAAATTACAGCTACATTCTTCATACTTTCCAAGACCTAGCTGGAAAACAGGCTTGGTGGAGAGAAGAGTCCTCACAAAAACAGCTTAAAAAGGCCAAAGTACCATTTTTAGTAGGAAGTCAAAGAAAAGCAATCCATATTTAAATCAAATGGATATGTATCAAAACAGACATTATTCTCAAGTCTTCCTGCAACAGAGGAAAACCAATATTAATTAGAAATTTGAACTCAATGTAATCTGTAGCCATGAACAATACAGGCGCTTGCTTATTTCCTTTTGTTGTTTGCCAAACATGAACACAAGCAATGGCATACATGCAAACACACACATACATAAACACACACACACCCTCCCCCAAAAGTGTCAGGTCTTGAGATCATAAAATTCAAATAGTATGCAGAATTCTTATTCCTATTTGTGTGGAGTGAGGGTATGCATGTGTATGTGTTTATGTGTGTGCAAGCATGTGCAGGCCAGAGGTCAATATCTGGTCTTTTTCTATCCCTCTCCACTGTATTTTTTTTTTTTTTTTTGAGTCAGGGTCTCTCACTGAACCTGGAGCTCACCAATTCACATAGACTGGCTGGCTAGCAAGCTCCAAACATCTGCCCATCTCTGGACCTTCCATACTGGCTTCTACGTGGGCACCAGGGATCTTAACTTGGGTCCTGGTGCTCGTACACCAAGCATCTGACTGACGGAGCCATCTCTTCAGGCCCCTATTTTCTTATTTTAAAACCCACGGTTCACTTCTCATGTACACTCATAACATAGGTCAGGGTGTAATTCCCATCTAACACAGACAGTGCTGGCAGAAAGTAACTTTGACATCAGAGAAATAATGACTTCTGAGAGATTTTTCTACAAAAGGAGAGGACTGAGGAGGCAGGGAGCAAGCAAGCCAAGGAGAAACGGAGGGACAAAGATAGGGAAGGGAGACAGAGGGACACTGCCACTTACATTTACTACATGTGTCCAAATGAATCACGTTGAGTAACTCTAACATCTTCCAAGTTAAAATGCTACCCTCCTTTCACTGTTGTTACTTTGGAGTTTTCACTGACCCCAAAGGAGACACATATGCTAAAGACTCCACAAACACGGATTCAGCCCAAAGAAAGAGGAAGCATGACCAGGATTCTGTAAACATTTAACCAGTCTACACACTTTGGGGTATTCTCATCCAGAATACTATGGGCTTTGGCTTTATATGATGATGAAGACAGTCCTACATCCCACTATAAAGTGACTGACAGTGTGGGGTACATGCACAGGGATCCGGAGTTTGGAGGTCCTTAGTTGCCAGTCAGAAAGTATCCATGAGTAGCGAAAGTCATCCTTTCCTCTCTTTGCTTCCCTGTCAGTCAAGAAATCCACCCCTCTAGCAACCCGGATAAAAAACAGTGACCCATGAGCTACAGGGCTGCTCTGCCAGGCTGCTAAGTCAAGCAAGACTCCAGCACAGACCCAAGCTGTAAACACCTCTGCAGACAGGTCCTTGCTCTCAACATGCCAGGCAAGAAAACTATTCTTAGAACAGTTAGCAGTTGGGGGAAAATAAATATTTGCCTATGGATGTCTATATTCTAACAGAGAAGGGTAGGGAAAGGATAGGAAACCTCAAACACCGTGCCAACAGATTGCCACAGAATTCCTTAAGAGGCACCTGGCACTGGCTGGGTTCCACTTCGGGGTCATGGTCATGAAAAGCAAGCATCCAAAGCCTTAAATACCTGCTGGCAAGATGCTTCTCCAACAAATACAAACATACAGGAACTGGAACTATAGACATGGGCAGTGAACTCTTCCAGGGGTGAGAGCAGAACGCTGAGAAACTAGAGGGCTTGTTGTTGTTGCTGTTGTTTAAACAAGGGGGAAGGTAACTACAATTCCATTACAGTAAATCCCTTACTGACATTTATAGTCCCAGTTCTAATTCTTAACTGTATTCTACATTAGTAACAAAGTTATACCTTAAAGAATTAAGCTTTCTCAGGAATAACAGAAAACAAATATTAAAATTCAATAAATATACATGGCTAATATTCAGACCCATGTGCTGATTGAAATTTGGTATTGTTCCTTTGATATTGTTTTATATTCCAAGAGAAAATGTGCGAAGGCAGATTCACAATGCCAAAGCTTAATTTAAACTCTAAGACTGTGACTTCTCCAGTTCAAAATGTGTGCCTGGCTTGATGTGTATATACTACATACAACCTTCTGTGAAATCCAACACACAAGCCTGAAGGTCCAGGTTAGCTAGAGACAGCTAGGATAAGGTTTGGAGACACTCAAACTAACGGAAAGAGCCATTGTAAGTGAGCCTGGCAGTGCTAACCCAGGATAGGCTCCTACTTCTTGTACCTGGTGTTAGGACCTGGAGGGGGGGCGGGGTTCAGCATCCTAGGAAAGCCAGGTGTCACTGAAGGCTACCTCTCAACCCTACACTTTGAAGATCCAGTAGGACTCACCATCTTTACCCAGCTCTACCTCAAACATGGTTCTCGTTTCACACCCCAATACCTAACACACAGAAGGTCACCAATAAATATCATGGTCATAATTAACCTAACTTTTAGTGAGGAGTTAAGGGATGGCAAGGTGGCAAAATTTTTAAAAAAAAGAAAGAGAAAAAACAAAACAAAGGAAATAGACGCAGAGGAAAAGAAAAGCCAATCAAAATAATCCATTCTAGTTCATTAAGAGTCTTTGTGGAAAAACAAAACATTACATTGACTGGGTGGCCACTGACAGTCAGCTATCACTCCTGTGCTGAGGCAGAAATAGGAAGCCCCACTTTTTTTTAACGAGTTTCTCGCTGTCCTGACTGGCCAAGGCAATGCTTCTCCAGGTAACCCGGAACACACGCGCCTGGTGTGGGCTCTGGGAATGACGCCCACCCACCATGCGCCCCTGTGGTCCTGAAACCTCTGCACACCGAGAACCCTCCAATTAAAAAAAAAAAAGTTTTAAAAACAAGCAAGCAAATGCTCTCTGTGGCACCACAGCGTGTTAACGCACAGAGAGCCTACTGTCTCCCAGCAGCGTACTCACAGGGCGCGCCCCCAGCCGTGCCCAGACGGCACGCTGGGCAGGGGTCCCGAGAAGCCTCCTCCAGCCTGTGGAGCGCAGAGCCCACAACAAAGGCAAGTGCAGGGCCGGCTGGGTGCTCTTTCGCTTCCTGTTTATTCCACCGTGAGGGTCAAAGAGAAATTCAACACACGCCTGCTTCCTCCCGGCCGGCAGACCCAGCCTAAGTGTAACAGCAGCCGCCCCAGACAATCGACTTTGCCAGCCAATGCCAGGAGCCCCGGGCAGCCCGCGGCCGACGTCAAAGCGCACGGGAGGGGGGGTGAGGGGACCCGGGGAGACCGTCTGAGGGCTGGGAAGCCTGGAGCCGGGGCGCAAGGTGCAGGGGGAGGCTCCCACGCCGCCTACTCGCTTCTGACCTCCGGTCCCCCACGACTGCGGCAGCTCACTTAGGCCTAGAAGCGGCGCCGCTTGGGGCAGGCACTCCCGCGCCCACCCCGGTCGTTGGACACTGCGGGATGAAGCAGCTTCAGCGGGACTCTCTAGAACACCGGGTCCCGGTCGTCAAGACTCTGCCAGCCGAGCGCTCCGAGGATGGGTCAGGCGTCCCCGGCCGCCCTGTGCGCCCACCCGCAACACAGACTCGCAGACCTGGTGCGCGGGTCTCGGGGACGCCAGGGCTGGGAGGGCAGCGGTCGCCGGCGCAGTCTGGCGGGCACCCCGGTCCCTTGCCCGCCCCCTCCTCCCTGTCCGGCTCAGAGGTGAACTCCGGCCAGACGCAGGGACCGCGGCGGCCAGACGCAGGGACCGCGGCGGGCGGCACTCACCTGCAGCAGCAGCCCCTAGATGGGCGAGCGGGACCGCCCACCGTGCAGTTTAGCCACCCGCCCTGCGGGCTGCGGGGGAGGGGCAGCGCTCCGGGTGGCGCGACACGCCGCAGCGTGGCTCTTTAAGAGGGACCTGCCACCGGGCTCCCGGAGCTCCCCGCCCCCCCCCCTTCGCCTTCTCAGGACTTGCAGTCTGTCTGGCGGCCGCCGCGGCTCCTCCCCGGCTCGCTGGGGATCCCTGCCGACTGACGGGAGGGAGGAAGAGAGGGAGCCGGTGCTGTCGGGCTGCGGGCCGGGTCCCGCCACTGCCACCGCGCCGAGGCCGGGTCTGTCTCAACTCAGCCTCGGCCGCTCCTCCCCCGACTCTGCGGCGGGGACCCGGCGCGCGGCCAGACGGCGGGGGCGGGGGGCGCCGCCGGGGAAGCGGCCCCGCCCAGGTGCACACCCGGTGCCCCCCAGGCTGCAGGATCCGAGCTCCCGGAGGCGATCAGCGTACACCCGGGACCCTGAGCCGGATAAAGAGCCTGGAGCTGGGGTGCGAGACGAGCGCTCGCTGCGCGTAGGCCACGGGCAGTTTGGGAAGGGAGGCACCTACTGCCTCTGGGGCTGTGGATGCCCATCCGCAGCGGAACTTGATCCTCGGCTCTGGGACACACACACACACAGTAGGACCACAGGACAGTTGGGGGGGAGGGGAATAGTTAAGCGTCTGGGAGCCCTCTCCTACGCTCTGGAGGGAGTCCTCTGGACTCCCTGGTATCATGTCCTCTTCCAGGGAAATGGTCTAGGCAGTGGGATGGATCCTTCCTCTAGGAGCTGTGACCCTTTTGCCCTTGAAGAAAAGACATCCAAGTCCTAGGAAAACTGGGATGAGACCTCCACCAGAGTGCAGACAATAGGTCATCAGTTCTCCAGAAGTACCAGCACAGACACTGGTCTACCCAGCCTTTGTTTGATGGAGATTGATTGCTGCCACCGCCTATTTTATTGCAGTCAACACAATTATAGAGTTGAGTTCCTCTCTGCCAAAATTATCAGCCTTGCAGACCGTCAAGATACATGAACCCAGGTTTCAGGTTTGGCTTAACAGAGATGGAAATTTAAAGGGGTAGCCGTCCCCAACTCTCCCCTACTCCTACCTCATACCTCAATGATACCAGAGAGATGACTATTTTTAAATCTGCAGTTAATATATCAGTGACTTTTCTGCTAGTGTAATATTTATTCAGTTTTCCTTATGTCTTCAGACGAGTTTATATGTGATCTGTTATAGCCATCACAACGGAGAATTGTGTATTAAGCATTTCTCACAGATTACTTTTATTTAATTCTCACAGTAACTGTAAGCTAGCTATTTTCCACTTTACAGGTGACAAAGTTGAGGCTGTGAAGCATTTGGTGATGTGGCCCATCCACAAAGATAAGCGTTGCTAAATGGCAGCATCTAACACTAGGTGTTGAATCCAGGTACCATACTGCCACCTACCTACAGACACTTTTGCATCCAGTTCTGCTTAGCTCAACCCAGGAACAACTTGCTATGTCCAGCACTGTGCTGAATCCCAGGTGGGGATGCCCAGGTAATAGAGAAGCACTGTAGGGGAGGAGGGGCTTGAAAACCCCGCTGTTAGGCTTTCCATTTCAGCTGTTGATGCTCACATCCTTACACATGTGTGCAGCACGTTACAGTAATGGGAAAGCTGCTATAAGTGTTGGAATGGTTTGCTTTAGGTAAAATTCATCGTGGTTGTGTTAGTTTTAATTAGCTTCATCCCAGCCATGCATGGTCCAGATGCCAGAGCTCAGGCAGGAGCTTAGGAAAGTGGGAGCCTTGGTCTACAGTCAGGAGGAGAATGGATATCCCAAGTCACAGAACAGAGCACAATACTAAGGACTCAGAAGATTTGGAGCAACGAAGGAGCTTAGCAATGGGACGTAAATGATATTGAAAGAAGATGTCAACTGGATAGAAACAAAATGAATTCTTTTTTTCAGGAAAAGGAAATGAGGGTTGGGGACATCTTTTTCATCGTAGATCCATTGCAGTTTATCTTGTGTCAATTATAATTATCCCTGCCCATATTCAGTCCATACAAGGTTACTAGGCCATCATCTAAGGAGATAAAAATAGAAAAGACAAAGATGAGCAAAAAAAAAAAAAAAAAAAAAAAACCCTAAGGGCCCCAAGTGACCACAAGATGAGTGAGTCAGAGAATACGATTCTGTTATTTAGATGTTGTGCCTAACATTTAAATGACATTTATGCTGTCCAGAATAACCCCAGCCTTTGTGCCTTTTGTGCCTTTTAAACTGGAGACAAGGAGACAGACAGACTTGCATTGTGGGTAACTCCAGTCCCAGAGAAGTAAGTCTAGATGTTCAGAACCAGAATCTATGGGTGAATAGGTAGGAGAGAGCAGGACCTGCCCCTTGTGCCTCAGTATCAGGGTTTCATCTTGCTGTCCAGGATGGTCAGGCCTCAGAGAGAAGCCATAAACTGGGCTTGGTCCCTCTTGGGGTCTTTTGTGATGCTGGCCTTCTGCACAGACATACCACTCTGGCATGTGTCTGCCACTGTACTTCAGGGTACACACACCCACAAGATATTCTTTCTTTGGAATTAGGTTAAAGTCACAAGAGATTGGCAAAGGAGCCCTTCCAATTTCAGCCTTCTGCAATGAATTCCTCCCCTCACCCAGTTTGGTGGGGATAAAAGCTACACTTTTTTTTTTCTTGAAGACACAAAGGAAAAATAAATAAATAAATGGCTGCCTCAAAGATGATCCACCTAAACCCACTTGTACATGGCATCTAGGCAACATTAGCAAAAGAATAAAATCTAGCAGGAGAACAACCTCCTTTCCAATTGATTTTTCTCAACTTTGTTGTCAAAGAAATGGAAAGATAGCACACCACCCTACCAAATGTCTGGCACCTCTTCCCCCTTGCCACAAGGAAGGTGTTGGCTCATATGTGTGGTGTGAATGAACACAAGTGCTGCCAGTGGGTGACACTCACATACCCATGGGACACATCCATCCTGGCATTAAACTCTCCCCCTCTGTGTCCATACCAACCCCTTGTTTCTGCACCTGTCCCTTGAAGGCCTCTTGGAAGTTTCCCCCAGATGCTCCTTTCACCTGGTTCTGACTAAAAAGCTAGAGGTATACTAAGTCTTAGGTCTGGATCCCAGACTCAATCCTCAGGGTTTCCCTGATCTGTCTGCTTCACAACACAAAACTCAAGAACCACCTGTTTTGTTTAATCAGTTAAAATGGCAATTAGGATAATATGTAAACTACGAAGTATAAAGTGTCTATATGTCAGTGTTACTCATATGTATGTATAGGCTGCGCATCACAGCTCATTAACACTATTATATTAAAATGCCAGAGAATGTAGAGCTTATAAACTGAAAAAAAAAAAAGTTATTTCTTAACCATTCTAGAGGCTTGGAAGTTCAATCACCGTAAGAGCGGATTTGATGTTACTGATGGCCTGTTTACCATAGATGGCACTTTCTGTGTCTTCATGGATTAGAGAAGGCAAAAAGAAATTGACTCCCTTCTCCCAGCCTTCTGTAAGGACAGTAACACCATTTATGAGAACCGAGTCCTCAAGGTCTGACCACTTCTGCAATGGTTTAATACTGTCACACTGGGAATTAAAATTCCATGTGAGTTTGGAGAGACACGTACTCCCAAACCAGAACACTGACATATGTTTGTATTGGTGTCATTTTTACTAGAACAACAGTCTTTCTATCATCTACCATCTATCTACCTACCTATCTATCATCTGCCTGCCATCTATCTACCATCGATCTATCTATCTTCTTTTGAATTTTCACATCTACCTAACTCTTCTAGAGGCCTAGAGTCTTGAACATCCAAATCCAGAGGGAATGGCTCATAGGCAATTTCTATTTTCTGGCACTTCATGCTATTAGAGCATCTTTCCTGGGATGCTACGCCATCCTTTTCATTTATGGAATATAAACCCCCGTGCAAAAACTAGATGTACAATAACCATTATCTTCTGTAACTAGTGTAACTTCTGACACAGAAGCTTCCCTTCTGCAGAACTGATAAGAAACTGAAGTTCAGCCTACAAGAATGCACTCAATGGTGACGGTGTGAATGAGAATGGAGGGGGCAGTGATTTCAGGCATGAGACAGACTGGCGCATGTGCTCCTCTAAGAAGGGAGTCCTCCCCAGTTAAAGAGAGGACGGACTCTTCTGAGATCCAAACAACACAGGGCCTCTCTTGAGACAACCCCACTAACGCATCAGCAGCAGGGGGAAATCTTGAGCTCTCAGCTCCAGCCTTGAGCCCCTGCTATGCTACACTGGTTTGACTCTCTGCCTAATTCTTCTTCCAGATTATGGGTCGTACGTTATCTGCATCCTAGTTCCATTCCAGCCACTATGTCCAGATGCCCCACATGCCACACAAAACTGTCTGCTGAATGC